AGTTTGGATAGTACTGTGTTTTTGTTCTTGTTGGTTAGTTTGATTTATGGGTCTTATTCTTGTGCTCTTGGTCAAGTGCCTAGATTGCCTATTGTTGCTGAAGCTGCTGAGAGGCAAGTCCTTTGAATTTCATTTCACTAATATTACTATTTTTGTTTTTATTTAATTATGTTGTTTATAATCTTCTCTGTTACAAAAATTGTATCAAATTATTGTATACTTTGGAATTATTATGAACAAGGGTAGTTTTGTTGTATCATTGATTTTTTGATATAGATGAATAGAAATTAGAATTTGGGAATTGCCCTTTGGATGAAAAGTATAATTTTTTATTTCAGCTTTGGATGAATGAGCATTACTTGAGGTTTTGTTGTTGGTCCATCTTATAAACTATGTATACATTTCATTTATGCATAAATTTCATTGTTGGTTGAAACCTCGACTCGAGAACGTAACTTAGTCCTTGTTTGATTGACAGCAAAATATATAGGAAGTGAAGGTTCCTAGTTTGTGTAACAAAGTAAGTCAATTGGTTAGAAAGTTTTTAGGAAGTTTGTAAACTTCCTAAGAAATGACACTACATGGGAAAAGAAACTTCATTTAGTCGTAAATCATGTTTATAGTGCTTCTTACTTGATTACATAGTGAACCTTGGCTTAAGGCTAGATACCCCTTTTACATCCTTGATCCATCATAGTAACCTACTCACTATGTCATGTTGCAATAACTCTTATGTTCATGGTGCTTTCAGTAGCTGCTAGCACGCGACATGCTAGTGAGAAAACCATTTATTTCAGCTGCTAGCAATAATTGTTGCTGTTCTTCTTCAAAGTTGGCATATTCTTCCTATTTTATATTTGATTTGGAAATCAAGCTGAGGATAACCAGGCAATATCCAAGGAGCAGGGGCACTAAGGCATTAGCCTGTCTAGTTGCTACTAACTCAGCTCCTTTTGGCTTTTGCCATTCCTCACTTACACTATTTATGTCCCAAGTGGGGCAGATCATCAACTTTCTCACCAAGCATCTCAATTAATGCAATTTCCGATGCCATCACCAATGTCTCCGTCACTGCACTAGCATAGGTGATTAGTTGATTACACGTTGACCATCACATGTGAATCTTTCTTAGAAACCAAGTTCAATCTTTGATCATTACCCTATTTGTAACATATCTCTCTCTATGTCCTAGACTTTCTTCGAGCCAGTGAAATGTTGCCTCATTTTATTTTCAAAAACCCTAGAGATTATTGTGTTGGGCGGACAATGACTGCCTTGCCTTTGGCTATTCAAGGCACATTGACATAACTGACATCAGAGACAGAAGAATGGTAATTCCTGTTAAGAACATCAGTTACGGTGAAGTAGCTGCTTTGTCGGATCCTTTTAGGAATTCCGAATCTCTTATATAAAGTAATGGCATGCTGTCGGTTCCACAAGCCCCACCAGACCAGATACTGTTTTGACAATTATCGTTGACTAATGACTACTACTTCGTATATCATTAAGCTGCTAGTGTAGAAGTTGTCTAACAACAATGCTGAGATGATCTACACAGAAAATGTAATGACCATGTTTTGCTTGAAACAAATTTTCCCTTGGTATATATTCTGAGGTTTGAGCAACTACAAAAAAGAGTTAACTTGGTCTGTTGCTGTATCATGCAGCGCCACTTTACCCTCCCTTTTATATGTTGAGCAAGGAAATTAGCTTATAGCTTCCTACTGATATGCTGGACAAGTTTGAGAATATTGGTGGGATGTGGGTCTAAAGACCATGGGTTATCTCAACCCGAGTTGTCTGTAAATGGCTTGATGGCATGTTCTAGGTAGTGGGTGCTGTTGATGTGGCCTTATTTCCTAAAGTGCTGTTTAAGGCTTAATAAATATGGCATTTATCCATAGAATCCATATAATTCTCCTTCCCAGTTTCTACAGCAACTAACTGATAATAAATTTAGGTCTATACTATTATCTTTTCATCTCAAGCCATTGCTTTAGTATTCTGTGCTGTGTATTTTGACTGATTAGTTAGCTTGAAATTGAACTACAAATAGCCCTATTTTGAATTACCACTGTGAAAGGTCCAACTGTGGGAGTACTTTCCTCAATAGTAAATGGCATCCATCTGCTAAGAATTAGGACCTAAGGCATGTCTTGAACCTCTATGTTCGTCTCAAATACTTTGGAGCAAACAAGCTCCATCCCCTCTTCTTCAATTCTAAGGTCTACCTTGGCAATCACTTTATTCTTTAACATTAGTCTTCTGTTCCTATTCTTTCCAACCTACCTTTGAGGAGAAAATGAATCAAGAATTTTGGCCAAAGAGAACATTGATAATGCAGAAAGAACCGCATATTTTGTCAGTTTAATCAGAGTAGCCCTGTATGATCTTTCTGTAATACCTGTGATTGGAATCATGCCCTCCCCACAAGGCCAATCGAAGCACCACAATGCTCCGGCCAATTACATGTGGACATATAGCTGTAAACTCTTTGCTGATAAGCCTTTAAGTACTCAGGCAAGGTAAAAAAAATTTACTGGTGCAATGAGATTCAGTTATCTGACCTTTCTGATAGACTTAAGATTTTCTGCCTGTGAGATTAAGCAATGTAAAGATTCACCCCTTAGTTGTAATCCTGTCAAGAAAAAGATAAGAAATATTTGATATTCTTCCATGGTTTGCCAGTGAATCAAGTCCCTTCCATGCTGCAAGACATGAGCATCCTGGTTATGAACACGTTGGTTACACTGGTTTAATCTCCAAGTAGAGTTTGCTACGAAAGCTATGATATTGGAGACTGAGGTTATTACATCCTGGTTCATGGAGACATTAAGCAAAGATTCACCCATTGCAATGTATTAAATTGGTTCAGGCCCTTCAGGGACAAGCCCTACTGCTAGGGTGATGCGAAGCCAGTAGGACTCGATACAACCTCCTAATTTCAATGTCACAAGGTATACGTTTTCACCACGACACCACTAGACTAAGCCAAGCTTATTTTGTAAGCCTGGTCCGAACACGAACACAAGTTATTAAACCAGGGCAATATTGCCTCAAAAAATCATTTATTTGAGTCTAATATAAATTTTTCGTCTATTTACACAAATCCTATATTGACTTTGACCATGTCTAGTTACTAATTTTACTAACATACCAAGTATTAAAATAGTATTATAATAGTGATAGGGCTAATTTAAATGTTTATTTTCAAAATAATTCTCTTTAATAATTTTTTTATCAAAACATAATTTAAGATAATGGTTTAAGTAGTGTGTTAGCAATCATGTCCTTCTAAAACGATGCATTGTGGAAAAGCAAAAGAATAAATTAGAATTGGACATGAGTCGGGCTAGCTTGAGGGCCAACTAAATTTAACACGAAAATGATCTAACCTAGCACACCCTTGCCATGGAACAAAAGGCACGCCGCATGGGTCTTACATGGGCTTAATTACAAATTTTGGCAAGAGCACGAAAGGCCAACTTGTGTGTCGGTATGTCTTTTTTTTTCACTACGGAGTCAAAATATATAAGGCATGAACTTGACCTCTAAGATATCAGCCTCGGGTTACAACATATGAGTCAGGTCGTGCATAAGCTTCATTTATAAATGACCCTCACGAATTCAACACCACATGTCTTTTTCTTAACTCAATCCGAGTCCATCTTTAATTAAAACTACTTCGTATTTACCAATTGAAATTGGACCTTTTATCAACCATAAAACTGGGCCAAGTAATATAGACCAAGTGTCAACCAAAGGTCATGAACCATCTACCACAAGTCAAAAATATCAAGATAACACAAACAAAGAAACTTCTAGTAGCAGCCAAAAATCCCTAAATTCCCAAAAAAAAATCACTTCAATTTCTCTCTCAACTTCATACCTCAATTCAAGAAATGGGGAGCTCACCAAGGAATGGATCGTTGAAGCAAGCAGCAATAGTAATGGGTGCGCTCGGTTTTGCGTGGTTAACCATCGAGCTTGCTTTCAAACCATGGCTCGACAAGGCTCGAGCCGCTATCGACAAGTCGGACCCTGCTCATGACCCTGATGATGACAACGACAACGACTTCGTTTCACACGATGCTCAAGCTGCTGCCGTTGAGAATGATAATGATGATTAACTGGTTAACATTGTTGGGTTTTGGTTTTCTAATTAGGGATTTCGGTTTAACCTTTTGATGATAATGTTATCAACTTTATTTATGTAATAATGCTTTAGATTTAATTTAATGTTATAAATAATGATGATAATTGATAAGGGTTTAATTTAGTTTTTATTGATCATCCAAAATTTTTTTGTTTCAAATTAGTTATTGTTGGTTTTTTATTTATGCTTAAACAAAGGTATGCAATTTCTAATCAAATAAAACAAGCAATTAGAAAAAGGGTCATATTTATTTGGTGGGAGTCGTGGGACTAAAGATAGGATATTACTAGTAGTGATGAAAATTGAAAAGATAAGATAACATGTCATTAGAAGCCATCTAGGTAATTATTTTAGGTTTCATTGAAACTCTAGCTTGATTGATGGTGGTTAATGGTTAATGATATGGTTAATCGGTTATGTTATCAATGACACCGTTCTTAGGCTTATGAACGATTTGTTCAACTTATTTTGACTAATTTAAAAAAAATAAGTGCACACAAGCTTAGATAAAATATATATTTTGCTACAATGATTATGAATTGTGAGTTTGTGACGCAATAACAAATATGTCATGTTATAGTGAAAGTTTACATGAAATTTAGTTTAGTTAAAATAATTGAATAAAACAAACTATATATAGCATTACTTGCTAATTAATTGATTGATTAAATATCAAATTTTGAATCCTTTGAAAATGATTTTTGGTTGTTTGTGGGACAAGTGGAAGCTTCAAAGAAGTGTTACAAAGAAGAATGTCTTAATAATCTGTCACATATACAAAGTTTTAATTTGATACATTACGTCCAAAACTTAAAGTAACTAAAATAGTTGATATCCGCACGTTTCACATCCCGGATAAATTGCGTGTTGAGGACCAAGTGTTCACGGGACAAATATACAATAACGTCAAATATGAAGATATAGCAAAAACTAGTAGTATTGATTAGTAACCACAATTCCAAAATAAAAGCAACAATTCCAAATTTCCAAAATCACTTGAATATCTTACTCTAACTTGATCAATTATAGGAGATGACGAGCGCACCAAAGGAAGGACATGTGAAGCAAGCAGCAATTTTAATGAGTGTGCTTGCTGTTGGGTGGCTAGCCGTCGAGCTGGCTCTCAAGCCGTGGCTCGGCAAGAAAGGAGCCACTTCGGACAAGCCGGAACCTACTGAAGCTAATGAAACTAGCGCGGCTCATGTTGAACCTACTGCGGCTAATGATGAACCGGCGGTCCAAGAAGCTGCTCCAACAGAAGCTCAAGCCGTTGAAGCCGGTGATGATGCAACTACAAGCAGTTGATTTTCCGTTAGTCGGCTTAGCGGCTGTGTTCTTTTCTTTTAAGCCTTTTTCAATTTAATAGCTTTAATTAAACGATCTTGTTGATCTCTGTCCTGCCCTTGTGGCTCTCTAAACACCAAAAAAACTTATTTATCTATGTACTGTTTCACGATCTAAAAAGGTGGGAAAATTACTATGTATTAAGTCATTTATTTTGATGACATGAATAATCATAATAAGTGCATGATTTCATTGGTGATTTAGACCATTTAGTGGTCATTGTTTATTTTATTGCCCAATTTTGATATTTTGCAATCCACCCTAGTTAGATTGCAAACTAACTAGGGTGGATTGCAAAATATATACAATTACATCTTTGTTTTTTCTAGCTATTTAAATTGCTACATATATATTGACATCCACAATTTCCAATATGAGTTTAAGCGTTAATATTATACTTACGGTAACTAATTAATTATATATTTATATATTGTAATATTGTACTGTATGAGTTTTATCAGTACGTAATAATGACTATCGGCATTATTCATTTTTTTTATTTTACTATTTTTCATTTATATATAAAAAGTGAAAAATATAAATTATGTTGGATATGTTTGTTTATATGTGTATAATTTTTTACAATTAAACAATACTCGTATTAATAAAGGTAAAGTTATTGCAAACGTGTCAAGTCATAATGAAATAACTTAGAAAAAAAGCGTAGAAAGTAACTCGTGGCCGGTGGCCGCCTATGGATTATTATCTACTAGCATGTCATCCAAAAAAAATCATCCAATCCTTTATACTTCATATAAATTGAAAACATGACTTGTTCAATTTTTTTTTTTATTTTTTTTTTTTTTTTTTTTTGTGTGTGTGTGTGTGTGGAAACGAGGGGCAAGCCCCAAAAAGAAGAAAAACACTAGCAGACTTGTTCAAAAAGATAAGAGAATTTATCAATAAATTCCAGTCCGTATCCTATATAGCTTTCTTGGAGGAAAATTTATAAATCTTTCATAAGAACTATGATTATTATGATTTATGACAAACTTATCCAAACATAGGAACTATATATATATATTCAATCCAGCTTACAAAGTTTCTAAGGAAAAGGTGGAAAGCTTAGGCATCAACTACATTCCCCTGGAAGTCAGCCTTAAGGAAGCTGTCGAATCCTTGATCGAGAAGAAGTTCATCAGTGCTTAATTTTGCTGTTTGATCTCATAGCTATTATGTTGGACAGACATTTCTAGAGCTTATGGAGTATAATCTTAGCTTAAATTGCATATACAATAATGTTCCAATTTCCAACTTTGATGTTTTAATTTCCAACATTATTTCCTATATACAATAATGTTTCAATTTCCAACTTTGATGTGTATTACTGATTACTGAATTCTAGTAATACATGTACATTTCAAAATATTATTGCAGAGGGAACTTTATCAAGTTGATCCTACACTTATCAAGTCTGGCTGCCTGATGTCTCGGCCTTTAGGTACCTCAAGTATGCCCGAGCAATGCATGCCTCAGCTAGCACTTCTCTGTCATAAATGACAAGTTTTGTACTCTGGAAACTAAATTCAAGTTGGTTGCATTGGCTCGGTAACTATATGGTTGTACATTTGTGTCGCGGTGCTTCTATGGCATCCTAGGTGCATCTTGCTAGTTGCTACCTTGTTAGTCAACCTTTACTAGCTAACAAGGTAACAATGCAAGCTACTTCTTTAATTTATTTGGTGGAATAGTATGGATCAATAGCCTACACCATGTTGGGCCAGCAGGCCCAGAAGTTGGCATTAATATCCCATAGCAATTGGCCCAAATATAATGTATTATATTGATAGTAGTTTATACAAAGTATAATTAAGTACAAGGCTCCTAACCTCCCAGCTTAGAATATTGAAGGAGAAAAAATTAAAAAAAAAATAATATTATGTGGTAGAATATTTTGATAATTAAGAATATTATTATATGTAAATAAAGAAAATAAAAATATAAAAATCACATTTCACATTGATCAATTAATACGAAGTATAACTTTAAAAGCTCCAAACCTCAAAGCTAAACAAACAATAAAAAATCATTTGTTAAACCCTAATTTTAAGAGCAAGTATCAAAATAAAATACGGAGTAATATTGATTCACATCAACTAGTACATTAAATTAACAAATAAGAAGGCAACGTTGCTTAAATTTATTAATTGTCAAAATATCATGGAAAAATAATTACTCCCTCCGTCCCTAAATTACATTCATGTTTCTAGCATTTATTCCTCACATAATAAAGGAAAACGGAATTGAAATTTAGGGACGGAGGGAGTATTATTTACTAGGTATAAAAAGGTGATTTAGTTGGTTTTTTTACAAAATTCATGGATTCAACTAGCTAGCTAGGTTCCTCAAATGTATTCCATAACTAGTTAGGAAATGGCATGGAATAAATCCCCAATTTAAGCTCTAATTAGATTTAACTAAATCAAGTATGGAGTAGTAATTAGCTAAACGTATCAACAATCCGAACAACATCCATATAAATATAGTCATATATAATAATCCGTATCTTATAAAATAATCGCACATAGCTCATGGAAGTTACAAAAATGATATGCTAATCACCGACCATTGATAACAGAATTTTCGATTGCCTCAAATACATGAAAGAATACTCATAAAAACGTTGTCCTTTCTACAAGAAAATTTATTAGAGGGAAGATTGTAATCAAATGACGTTAACCATTAGCAAGAACTAGGGATGCTCAAGGAATCAATCTTAACAATGTAACATCCACTAATTCTTGTTCTTTTACGAATTTAAGTAAGTTCCTTGTCAAAAAAAAAAAAAAAAAAAAAAAAAAAAAAAAAACAGGTAAGTTCAAATTATATTAGGGGGCCTCCTTAAAATGCGATACATGATGATTCGTTTTCGAGGTGGGTCGTTATGGATTTTCGTTGGTATTGACAAGAATACAAAATTTAAACAAATTGTCTAGCAATTTCAAAGCAATTAACAACTACTCGTGTATTTTCCTAGCAGGCAACATCTGAACTTAAAAAAACTTTCATAATTGAATTTTACGCATTCTCTAATATCTTTAAATTCATAAAATTAAAACATGTAAGATATTAAAACAATAATTAATATAGATTCATTAAAATGACTCTAGCAAGAACTTACACATAGACAGATTTAGAGACAGACCATATTAGACCACGACTAGCATAAATAACGCATGAAACCTTATGTAAATGCATAGAGAATGTGTTCAATCCTTGTTGGCATCAATATAAAGATGATTTGTGTATAGTGATTTATGACCATAAGGTGAACTAAATAGGACATTAGATAAAATAATATAGATTTTTAGAAAATTTAATTTTCAACATTCTCGATATATGACAAATTAGAGAGAAATAGAATAGAATGATTTGATTATTATTCATCAATAGGTTGAGTATTTATACAAAACCTAAGCTCATAAGATAGGAAACAATCTTCCTAAAAGATATACGTCTAACCATAAACTCTAAAGATATATTCTCAAAATAATATCTTAACATAAATATCCTAATTAAATATATTATTTACTTAAATGATATTTACGGAAAATATATCACACATATATTTTCCGATATCTCTAACACCCTCCCGCAATAGTAACGGCAGTAACACGAACGTTGCGATTGGAAATTCTTCACTTTGTTGAAGCAGAGATGCACACTCTTGTGATGTCGCCTTCAATTTTTTTTCTTCTTTTTCAATGATGAGAACGTTCATCTTTTCGAACTCATCAGTCATCAATCAATCAAGCAGGAACGTCATTCTTTTCGAACCTGCAAATATAATAATTTTGGTTTTTCCAGAGCAAAACTGAGCTCCAATCAAATATTGGTTTTTCAGAGTAAACCACACTCAAATCTTTTATTGGTCTTTCAGAGTAAACCACACTCAAATCTCTTGGTCTTTCAGAGTAAACCACACTCAAATTTTTTATTAGTTTTTCAGAGTAAAACCAAACTCAAATTCAAAAGAGCAAAATCATGCTCAAATCAACTCACAAACCTTGTCTCACGGCACAAGGATAACCAAATATATCTTGTCTCACGACACAAGAGAGCCGTTTTTTAATTTTTTTCATCTCCAAAGATGTGTTATAGTGGAGGAAGTCCACTCACATACTCCCAAAAAAAAAAAATCTCCCAAAAAAAAAATTCACATACACATATATGATACGTGTACCAACCCAAAAAAATAAAAATTTAAAAAATATTAATATTGCAAAGCGGAAGCAAAATTTTGAATCCCACTGGTGGGTTTAACTTTCTAACCCACCAGCAGGGGGGGAAATTTTTGTGAGCGGTCCCAAGATTTAACCTGCTCTTGATACCATGACAAATTAGAGAGAAATAGAATAGAATGGCTTGATTATTATTCATCAATAGGTTGAGTATTTATACAAAACCTAAGCTCATAAGATAGGAAACAATCTTCCTAAAAGATATACGTCTAACCATAAACCCTAAAGATATATTCTCAAAATAATATCTTAACATAAATATCCTAATTAAATATATTATTTACTTAAATGATATCTACGGAAAATATATCACATATATATTTTCCGATATCTCTAACAATATACCTCATAATCTACTACATTAAGCTTGACGGATCAGTGATTGACTTTTAATGTCTTCAAATCTTTCCAAATACAGACATTTTCAATTTGCGTTGATGTTCAGATTGAATAGTTGATGACATAATTTTTTTTTTGGGAACAAAAGTTGATGACATAATCTAATAAACTCATATGAATTGATTGAATTGGGAAGAAGACCCTAAAGTTTGAAACATGATATATGTATATATAGATCATGGTGGAGTGACATTACAAATTTACAATAGTGTCTTCTCTTTAAGTTCTGGATTAGTGAATGTGTTTGAACTAAAAGCGTGTTTGGACTAGTGAACTACTATATGTTGTATCATTCTCGTGCTCAATGTAACCATCAAGTAAATTTTATATTTGATAATTAGAATTATTTGTCGCGGTTTTAGAATTCAATACATGTGAAGATAGGGAAGGAAGCAATCAAGCAACATAAGTTTTAGCAAAATCAATTAGAAGACTCGAATCTAGGAGCTCAAGATCATCAACTTATTTTTTAACACCATAGAAATCAGTAAAAAATATCCCAAGTTCCAAACTTATAACGGTCGAAAAAGAACAAAAGATAAAATCTTCAATCTTAACCGTCGAGGGCCCACAAAAGTCGTCGGT